AGGGGGTGTCGCTTTGTGCGTCATTTTGTATCCAATCGCTGCGTGTCGTCGTCTGTACCTTTTTTAGCTGTGACGGGTCCATAGGGGGGTGTTTGAATTTTTTTGGGTGATGTATGAACAGGTTGTGCTTTGTCAGCGGCGAGCGCGCGTGTGCGCATGTGTATAGCCGGTCACATTAACGGATACCCGAGATTTAAAGGGCCGGTCAGATCATCACATGGGACCGCGGCCTCTCACAATGGTCACAAGCTGTGCCGGTTGTGATTTTCATATCTACGGGAACAAACCTCTTCGGAGGCCTCATGATCGGCCGGTTTCGGAGGACGAGTTGATTCGGCCGGGTTGCCATTTCCATTGGGATGTGGGCGGGGTCTATATGAACCTGCGTATCGCTGCGCCAAACGCTCCTTTAGAACATTGGATGGATGAGAACGCCACAAAGCTTGAGAATTCCGTTACTTTTTCAGAAGAGGTCTCAAAGCCGACACGTTTCGGGGGCCCAAGTCGCCCTTCGTCGGGGCTAAGAAACCACATCCTAGGAAAACTGAATACAAAGTAACAATTCGTCTTTTGTAGTTTTAGATTCTCAGCGTCTCTCGCGACCTCTAGTGGTGGAAAATAAGAATTCTTCCAGCTTGGAGGCGCTCTCATCCTATTATCGTATTTCAGGGACCCCCCAATTGGCAGACAGCCGCCTCTAGTTATATCCTACTCCCTGATTCTCATCTACTCCGGGAGTCCACCGCCACATATCCGCTACGGCCAATCTCTGGGCACCGGGATCCTCAGTCTTTGGGCAGGGGGGGTAGCCAAACTCGGGCCCTCCAGCTGTGGTGAGAACTACAAATCCCATGAGGCATTGCAAGATTCTCACAGCCACGTCTCCAGGAGAGAGATGCATCATGGGATTTGTAGTTTCACCGCAGCTGGAGGTACTCTTGTCTCGGTGGTGGGGTCCATCGACACATATCCGCTACAGCCAATCTCTGGGCACCGGGATCCTCAGTCTTTGGGCAGGGGGGGTAGCCAAACTCGGGCCCTCCAGCTGTGGTGAGAACTACAAATCCCAGCTCAGGCAGGTTCATTTAAAGGCAGCGTCCTGCTCGAAACAGAATCTTCAGCCGTCCGCTTGCCCCTCCTCCGATGGCGTCCGATTCCGCAGTCCAGGCGCATCGAAAACAAAAGCCTCCAAATGCTTGCGGTTGGTTTCCTTCAAGATTCTGCCTCATCCTCGGTAGAAAAGCCTGTCCTCTGCCAGCATGCTGCGGAGAAGGACCATTGCCTCATGTGTGGAAGCAGGGGTCTCTCTGCAGAGGTCCAACATGCCCCCCCCCCTCTGTGTCATAGTTACATAGGTTGAAAAAAGACGCATGTCCATCGAGTTCAACCTATAGAGATGGCCGAGCTTTCCAGTCCGCCGGGAGCATGCGCTTTGCTGGCTAGGGACCCCTAGCTCTGACTCGGCAGGGAAGAAGGGGGGGTCTCCTCTGCGGAGAGGCCGCTGCTTCCACACAGAGAGCGAGGGTCATACTCTGCAGCTGCTGGAAGGGGATTGGCTTGTATGAGCGCTGAGGAGAGAGCCGCGCTGTGATTGGTCTGTTTTGTATAGAGTAGGGGTGAGAGTCAATGATCACTGTATTAGCTGTATCCGGCTTATTAAACCATATTGTATAATAAATTATTGTCCAGACTTCCCGTCTTGTGGTGTCATTATTCGGGGGGTGATAATTCACTCAGTTTGTGAATCCTCCACCAAATATGCAACTTTCACATCCCCAAAAAAGACCGACCAGCTTCACGGCCCCCCAATGTCCTCCTGGCCTCCGTCCCGTGCGGGTGACTCCTCCTATAAAAGTTGCCTTTGCTGCCATGGCGTGGATTCTGAACAGGTGAAATCGCAGCCGGGGGTGTTCCCTGGTTCCAGCTCCGCCCTGTGAAAGCCTTGGCCACGCCCACTAGGGGGTTGTGCACCACAGAATCACATGGCAAGAGGCTGCAGTCCTGCACAGAAGGGCACCCAGCATCCGATTCTCTAAATTATATTTACAAAAAGTAACTTTATATGTCCAGCTCGAGTCTACGTCAGATCTTTATTGAGACTTGACTCCTCCCCCATGACTATGGCATCATCATCAATGAGAACGCTTCATTGAGGGTACAACAAGGGGTTAATTTTCCTGCCATCCAGTGATGACAGTGGGGCCCTGAAGGTGAAAAGGTTACAATTTCCTTTTTTGATTATTGATACATTGTATCGGCGCCGACCCCCCTCTCCAGATACAAAGAGACCTCTCCCATGATCTGATCCAGTGCAGCGTACTCTCCTGGGAGCGCCGATATCCCGGATTCACTATCTTCACGGCTGCAAACTGCCATTTACCTGTTGGTGATTGTACGGCGTCTGCGATTGGAGAATATCAGACGGGCCGAGGTTCTCTTCCAGAGCGCCAAAGGACTCGGTCTTTTCTAGTGTGAACGAGGCC